CTTCTCAGAAGCTTCTGAAGTAATTCCCCTGTTATCAAATCATAGCCAGGAGCTTTCTTAGGATTTAGCATTTTTATTTGTTGTCGAACCTCTGTCGGAGTAAAGGTTGTCAGAGGAAGAGATAGTTGACATGGAGTTTCGAGGTACATCAACTTCTTCATCTTTATTAGCACCTGGTGCTGCGAGTACAGTTGCAAGATGCTCTGCGAATACTATTGTTTTTTCTGTGTTTGTGTGGGTCCATGTCATATATGTTTTCCTTAAAGGTGAATTTTTTATTGTCGGTCGTTTAAACTTTTTTGTAGCTTTCCATATAGAGTGGTCTTCATGCAAGAGTTTCGAAACATAAAACTGGAAAGAGTCATTTTTTTCTTCATGTAATACTCTATTTAGTCTATGACTTATCCTGTTAAAGTACACTTTATTTAGTGGATTTCTCGTTTGTTATCATATGCGTCGAGCTCTTCTTTTTTTCTGTTACCAGTTATCATATATGAAAGGGGATATTATGGTTTTCTTGCACACTTCTTTGGCGCTGTGGTGTTGCTTTTCATCCTGTTGTTTGTAAAACTTTCGTTAAATAGTCTACTGATTTCTCTACATCTTTGTTTTCTTTTATCCTAATATCTAGTCTAATTTTTGTATTTATAGAATTTTGGAAAAAAAACATCCCAATTTGTTTCTTTAGTTGTGAGTTTGGGTGGTGGTGTTCTCCATATTATGTGTGTACTTAAAGATATTATTATTGTACTGCACTCTAAAGATATTGTAGGGGAGAGGTGGGTACAGTGACACAGAAAAATTTGAATTTCTATCATCGCTAGACCATTAATAGGATTTTACTTGCAAATATCAATTTGGACGTGTTATTGTGTTGCAAATACATCATGAATGACTACATTGCTATAAATTAAGAAAACAAATAGATTTAAAAAAAAGTCTGAAACTTTGCATTGTGTCAGTGTTCCCTGGTATGAAGGGTACACAGACACAAAGACATTTTTCAACTGTAATATGTAAGTATTATTATTTAGGACTAATTAAACAATAAAAACGTATCTTTATTATTGATCTATAGAAAAATATTATAAATGCTTGTTGTTTTCTATGAAATCAAGTCCGTTTTAACATTAGGAAAAAAGTGTCGACCCCTGCTAATTTTTGGATGGTCCAAAATTTTTATAATCTGGTTGTTGAATATAACACCAATGTCTGTGACACATGGAAACACAAAGCATGTGACATTTTTTGAATTTTTACGTAAAAAACTGACTTCCATCGTACCAATGGTGTTTATCACCACAACTTTCCCAATATAATATTTTTCGATTTCTTTATTGGACTGGGCTTTATATTTGAGTCTCACTAATAAGAAATCATTGATCTTAATGTCGCAAATTTTGGCTGGATCTAATGTCAAATCACATGGGTCTTCATCATCACTATCTGAAAATATTTCACTTCCCTCTGACGTGTCAGAATTATGGAGACTATAAGTTTTACCATCTTCGTCTTCCGACTCAATAACATCATCATTGTTTTTAATGTCTTCTGAGATTATGCTTCTTTTAACTGTTTTCGCTTTTTTGACTCTATTACTTTCAATTTCGTTTTTCTCTGGAGTGTCAGTAGCAATCATAGTCTTGCCTTTTTTTCTTCTAGTTTTAACCGAAATTGTCAGACTTTTTTTTGGTTATTCACGAATAGCTGATGGACTTACAAATGTCAATTTTCTTCCACTTGTGGATGAAGGTGACAATTTCTGTAATGGAGTTACGTCCTGGTTCTTGATAGAGTTATCTGTGGTACCTCCTGTCGAGGTAGATGGTTTTGGATCAATATTTGGTGAATTAACTAATGGTCGTTCTGTAACTTGGCTTGCGAAATAATCATCATCATTAAATACGTGACGGTCAAAGGGAAATATTCCAGTTTTTTAAAAGCTGCCGATATATTTACAGGTGTCATAGATCTGGGGTAAGCAAGTCCCACAAATGATGCTACATGGTAGATTGTCACAGGTGTGCCCGGATTAGCTTTTTCCCACGAACTTAAAGCATCGTTGTAAAATATATGAAACGGTTTTAGCAGACCCATATCTAATGGTTGCAACCGATGGGTGCAATGAGGAGGCACAGTCAAAACAGTGACCCCATTATCTTTGCACAGAATGATAGCTTCAAGAGATATATGGCTCTCATGGTTGTCCATGATTAATAGTGAAGGGTTAGCTTTTGAACTACAAGTATGTTTAATGAAATGTTTTAAAACTTCAATAAAACATTCTGTGTTCATCCATCCTGCTTTCGTAGCCAAGCCTAACGTCCCACATGGCGCTCCTGCCAACATATGGCTTTTAAAATGGACTCTCGGAAATACCATTACGGGTGGGATTGCACTTCCATTTGCACTTACAATGCAGCATGTGGTAACAAGTGTACCTCTTTCACTGCTTTGAATTTTAGACACTTGTCTAGTGCCTTTTTTGGCTAGCACCTTTGTCGAATTGTTTTGAACTGTCAAAGTTCCGGTTTCGTCTAAATTGTAAATTCTGAATCCATTTGAAAAATTTGGATGTCGCTGCAAAACTATTTCCAACTTATTAAAAAATAAGTTTACATTTTCTTTATTGAATCCTGCTGCTCTTGCTAGACTACATCCCTCTGGAGTTCTGAAGGATATTGTACGATGTCTATGGCGAAATCCTTTATACCAGTCGACTGAAGCTTTTTTTTCCTCCTCATTAATTATTATTTTCAATATATATTTTTTTGTAATATGTCGACTTTCTTTAAATAAGTTTTTGGTATACTGCCCCACCCAAGAATTCCATATCTATTTGTAGACTCAACTGGTGCATAATATAACATGTTTAAATATTTTAAATCTATTTTAGAGTTGGAAAATTTAGACTTTGGAACTAAAGCTCTCAAACACTTTGTTATTTCATCTATCTGGACATCTCATCTTAAACGATATTCGATTTTTATTCCAAGATATTTTATAGTGTTACTTAATTTTATAATTATATTTTCCTTCTTCTTTTTAATTGTTATAGATCTATAAAAAGGTAGTGTTACTTTGTAACTGCAACACCGAACAAAAAACGTTTTTTCATAATTAATTGTTAAACCTTTATAATTAAACCATTTTATAAGTTTGAGCATATCTAATTTAATTTTATTCTTTAAATCTTCCCAATAATTGTCTGCGTTATATAAAATTACAGTATCATCGGCAAAACTTCATATCTTTCTCTCAGTATTGAAATTATATAGATCGTTGACATGGATATTGAATAGCAGCGGTCCTAATGCTGTACCTTGGGGCACACCGCATCTGTGAAGTTTATTACTGTTAATATTATTTGTCCTAAAAATTTGATGTCTGTTGTCCAAGTAAGACCTTAGTAAATTATAAGCATTGCCGCGTATTCCACTAGTTTCTAGTGGTTCTAGCAGATTTGGATGGCATACAGTATCGAATGCTTTTGACAGATCTAGAAATACACAAGCAGTAGGTTGGATATGGTTAATTCGATTGTATATATCATTGAAGAGTTCTATTATTGCATCATTTGTCGAAAAACCTTCACACAATCCGCTTGCGACGGATTCTGTGAAGATGATAATATGTTGCGTTTGTCAAAGGAAGATGTTAATCCGATTTTAAGACATTTTTCAAAGATTTTTGTTAAAGTGGTAATTAGTGAGATTGGTCTGTAGTTTGACAAACTTAGTTTACCTCACTTCTTGTATATAGGAATTACAACTGTTTCCTTAAATTTGTCTGGACATCCACCAGTTTTAAATATTAAATTTATTAGGTTCACCAATGGTTTGCTGATTAATTTATTTATAATTCTTATTGTTTCTGCTCTAATGTTGTCAATGGGTGATTTTTTTCTTCTTAAGTGTTTTAATAATCCCCTCAATCTTACTTTCAGTGATCGGTCTTAAATACACGCTGTTATATTGCGCGAAATACGATGTCGGTAGTGTCATATTCTTGGAATAAGTTTCTTCAATTTCTGTAATATAACGAGCAAAAGAATTTGAGATAGTTTCACCATCTGTTACAGTAGTTTCTTCTTGTGTAATCATTTCCATAATATTTCTTTTGGTTTCTTTACGTGTCAATTTTTTAACAATATTCCCCAGATTTTTGGAAACATTCTTGTTTTTCTCTCTCTCTCTCTCTCTCTCTCTCTCTCTCTCTCTCTCTCTCTTATTACTTATGCAGGCGGTTTGTTCTTTTTCTTTTGCTTCTATCAGGTATTATGATAGATATCTTTTTTGATCTAATATTTCTTTAGAGAAGTCTTTATTTATGAATATTGTAGGGAGATTAAATAAAACGAGCGGTTCAAATTTATATAAATATATTAATTTATTAGTTTACAGTTCGCTAATATAACAACTAAACTAACTCATAACATCGTTACATACCTATATATACCAAAAGTGTTATTCTAGAATTAATTATCTAAAGTAGTCACACCTCTAATTCGTTTTTTGACGTATGGATTTTCTTGCATTCGAGACATCAGTGGGTGGTTCTCGATGACCTTTCAAGATGCAACCGTTACATGGGCCATGCCGAAAGCATGTTCGTAACAATATGTTCATGTTCTCTATTTTTTTTTTTTGCTTTTATCATAATTTCTCTTTTTATTGTCTCCCCTTTACAGGTTGGTTCCTCGAATTTTGCTGGTTTCCAATATTCTCTATGTTTATATTAAATCTTGATCTCCATTGATTTTCATGTATTAGTTATTTCCTTTACTTTGTTCTGTAGATGTTAAGTATTTATTTTCGTTCGTAAATTTTAATATTTCGTTTCCTTATTTCATTTTACAACTTCTGAATTCTTTTCTCTTGTGATTTTGCTTCTCTAATTTTACAAGCATCCCTCTTAATTTGTCCATTTTCTAGTTGTAGACTAATTAGATCAATTTATAACAACTTATAACAGTAGTTTAAAAAAATAATCATTTTTAGGACAATTAAAATATAGATGTAAAGACCAAAAGGAATTGTAGGGGCTGTGACAGTTAATGGCGTAATGAACTTGGAGCAGGATTTGGGAACGCCAAATATTATATATGAGAGAACCATGTATGAAGATTACGACTACGATTCCGGCATTAACAAAACAATTACGATCGACGACTGTAAGGAGGAGTTTTCTAATCAAACGCAATATCTTCAGCAAAATTATCCAGACGATTTTTGTAAGGTAGCATTCGATAGTCTAGTATGTTGGCCACCTACGCGGAAAAATGAAGAGGCTACTATTCAATGTTTCGCTGAATTGTTTGAGGTTAAATATGACACAACACGTAAGTATGTTATGTTAGCCAGTTTGATAATTTTATCCATCCATTTGATTTTATAAAAACTGTTAATTATGAGCTGATACTAAATACGTTTTTTGTATGTACCAGATACAATGTATGTTGTTTGTTTGTCCATTTAATTGTCCTTATTTTATCACAAATAAACATCATGATTAATGAACAAATTTGTATGGACTCTTGAAAGAAAACAAACATAACGACAATTAAATGCTAATATTTTGTTGATCCACCTTTAGCCGCTATTAGATCTTTAATTCTGCGCGGCATACTATAAATGCAAACCTGTACTATCTCCTGATCCTCCAATCCAACAAAGGGCTGTTTTGTTCTGCCAAAAAAGCTTTGACAGACCGTGCTATATAGCAGGGACATCCATCTTGCATAAAAATGAATGGTTTTACTTTTTAAACCAGTCTTCGAGCTGCTAAATCAACCTCTTTTGCAATAATGTTTGTATTGGTCTTGCCGCATCATTCTTTTTACCACGTACAGACGTCCCGTACCCTTGCCGCTAATGACTCACCAACACTTTTGTAGGGTGCTTCACAGTCTGAACAACACAGTCAGGATGAAACTTTTTTCATGAAGATGACGCACAAATGTAATGTAATATAAAACTGAGCTTGGTTCTGCAAAATTTCAAATGAGCTTTCATTACTGAAGCAGACCTGTCAACAATAAAAAAAAAATATGTGCTGGTCTTTGTGTTGGCTAAATGGTTTAATGCGTTAGATGCGAAGAAATTATGAACTTTGTTTTCCAGGCAAATTTTCTTTAAAGACCTTTCTGACCTTGGAGTGAAAAAACGTTTCTGGCGCGTTTTTTCTTTCGTTTTGGGCTCAATTCTTCCCCTGATTATATTCTTTATGTCAAATAGACTAGATTCTGATACCTTCAAACTTCGTGATATTTCGCGGTTTGAAAATATTTGATCATTCACGAGGGCCTTTACTTCAGGCTTTTTTACGTGATGAAAGATCCCTTTTTTACCAATGATGACAGCGTACACATGAAAACAGATTATTTAAACTTTACACTCGAAATAAACAAATAACTGTGTAATATAAAACTGCTAAAAAAACAAACACAGCACATAAAGCCACAGAGCCACAGAGCAGGTATAGACTTGTTTACGTTCCGGGAAGAAGTGATTAAATATGTGACAAATAAATACAAATACGAAATATATAATAAACTTCTTTAATAAAAATCCATTTCATGTATGTTTGTATGTCAAAGTACTACATATAAACTCGTCTAAAACAATAAATTATTAAAAACATTTCTCTATTGATGCCTTCTCTCCAAATAAGGCGGGGTCTTCCTCTTTTTTTCTACCGTGAGGGTTCACATTAAGATTTGTTTTGGTAGACGTTCTTCAGACATTCTCTGTACATGACTACTATTGTAAAATATACTTCATGATTTCTCTTATTCTGTTGTTCATTATTCTTTCTAGTCTAGATTTACCAGCTGAACGTCTCCAGAAATTCATTTCCGTTTCCTCAAGTTTTCTCTTGTATATTTCCTTTAATTGCCATCACTACTGTAGGTAATTATACTTTTAATGAGTGTATTATATATCTTGTGCTTGTTGTTATTGGAGATTGATTGATCCCAAAGGATACTATTGAGAAGGGAAATTGATTTTCATGTTTGGTTGTTTTTCTCCTGAATTGTGTCGTCTACGTTGCCTTCTTTTGTGATGATCATACCTAAATATTTATATGTGTTGCAATGTTTGATAACTTCTCCATCTTCCAATATGAGGTCCTGTTGTTTCCCGCCGATACATATATACTTGGTTTTTTGGATATTGATTTCAAGTCCCCATTTTTTATACTCATTGATTAATTTTCGAATCATATACTTAATATCTTCATAATCTTGTACTTTCACTAGTTGATCATCTGCAAATGACAAAGTGTATATGCTATTGTTGTTAATCGGCATTCCCATATTTCTATATTTGCGCTTCCATAGTTTTAGAGCCTGTTCTAGAGAAATTTTGAATAATGTGGGGGAGAGACAGAAGCCCTGCTTAAGGCCTTTATTAATTTGGAATCCACCTTTGAGTTAGCATTAGCATACAGTTGATTCGTCGCATTTATTAAATTCATGTTTATCTTTGTTTTCTCTAACGCTTCCCATAATTTATAATGTGGTACGCTATCATAAGCCTTTCGTAGGTCTACTTACAATAAACGTACTTCTTGATTAACGGCTTTTTTTCAATAATCTGTTTAATGCAAAACAAATTTATATTCGCTTTCTGTTTTTAATTACTTTTCCGTATATTCTACATCCCTTCTGCCTTTTTTGTGTATAGTGGATATGAATGATGTCTTCCACTCCTCTGGGGTTGTCATTCCATTAATGCAGTTTTGGAACAGTTTGACTAAACTTGTATATAGTTTGGTTGTACCGTGTTTAAATAACTCTGCAGGGATGTTACCTGGACCCGGTGCTTTGTTATTTTTTAGAGATCTACATACATCTTCCACTTCTTTCGTTGTTATTTGTATGGACGAAATTAAAATATTTCTATTTTGTGTTTCATTGCTGTCTTAAATTGTGGTCTATCTTCCCTTAGGAGTTTCTCAAAATATTGGTCCCAGTCATCATTGTTATTGTTGACACTATGTCTCTCTTCTTATCTTGTTTCTTCGTCCTCCTACATGTGTATTTATCATGTTACATGTTTGTTGTCATGCTTCATTTTTCTTCCGACATATCATTTTTCGTACTTTAGCTTGAGACTCCTTGTAGATTATTTTATCCGTTATATTCTTTGTATTTGGGATATAGTTTTAGCTAGGAAGAAATATGTTAGACATACTTGGGAAATTGAGTGGCAATCTTTTACTAACAGTAGCAAAAATACATACTGCAGTATATATCCAACTCTTCCATCCACTCCTCCAAGTAACAGAAGTCCCATCTCTCGGAAAATTTATACTATGTACGTTAGATGCCTTTTTGGACATGCTACAGTAAATGCTTACTTATATAAAATAAAACTTTCCAAAACTTATATATGTGAATGTAATGGCAGCTATGACGATCTTAACCACTGGATGTTTCAATGTCGGTATAATCAAGAAGCCATAAAATTTTTATTTCAAGCCGTCTCCCGAGAAAAAATTATTTTGCCGCAGAACGTTGCTTCTATTCTCTATTTATTTCTTCTTCTTCTTTTGGCATCATTGTCTTATGTTCATTGTTTTCAGGTCGTCTTCCACGTCATCCAACCATCTCGTTCTGGGCCTTCCTTTTTTTCGCCTTCCTATGGACTTCCATTGTAACATTTTCTTTGTTGTTTTTGCATCGTTTTGTCTCTGCACATGTCCCAGCCATGACAGTCTTTGACTTTTCACAAATCTTACAATGTCATAACCTTCATTTAACTCATTAACCTATTCTCTATTTAGGTAGTCGAAATTCAACTATAAGATCAATTTTATGGGAATTTTTCAAACGTACCAAACGGAATTGTTGTGTGAATCCGAAACGGTAGGACGTTAGTTTTTGTATTTCCCATTGTCTTTCCTTTTATGTCATTTACCTTTAACTGTTGCCTGTATTGTTTGTGTTAAAAAAAGTCGCTATAAAGGGCACCTTAGCGTGAAGCGTGTGTTCCTGTTCAATCCTTTTTGTATAGTCACCCAATAGTGTTTTCAATGGGAAGGTTAGGAAATTGAGTGAATGTGGTGCGGATGAACGAACGGTTAGGTTAGGTTAGGTTGTCATGAATTGTAATGAATTTTAAGGAAGTGTAGGAGATTGATTTTATGTATTCAACCTATATTGTCTGGCTAAATAGGTCTGGTACCTAAGGCCAAAAAAAAATTCTTTGTATTTAAGAATTTTGGTTTTTTTTTGTTTATTTTTGTATATTTTGTTTCATTTTTGTTTTGTTTAAGCATTATACTAATTATATATCTTCTAGAAAACGCCACGCGGTTATGTACAGAGAACGGTACGTGGGCAAAACAAAATTTTTCCATGTGCAAGGAACTTTTGCTGGAGAAAGTTGAAATGCAAGAAGACACAACCCAAACAATATTTTTCGTAGGTTTCATCATAAGTTTAATAACTTTAACGATAGCTGTAGCAATTTTTATGTATTTCAAGTAAGTACAAAACAGAAAACATTTACAGAGATATTTTACTTATGTAATAAATAATTAAGTTTTAAATATTTATAGAAGATAAGGAATCTCGCAAATAATTAAACATGGTAATTTTATTGTTTACAATCGAAATCCAATGTTCGCTTTTTCTTAGTTTAAGAAATTGTAAAGGATTTATCGGCTTAGATAATGTAAGGAAAAATAAATTTTATTCCCCCCTTAATAAAAAAATGGGAGGCAATCATTAACAATTCATACAGTCTTTTTCCAAATAGATATCTACACAGTATGGTATTTGTCTTTAAGGTACTTTTGCAAAATTTAAGGAAGTTCTTAAAATGGCATGTATCATGCTGGGTGTACTTAGCTGATTTTAATAAAAAATTACACACTATCAAGTTTTTTAAGAACGTGCACCTCTTGCCGGTTTGACCCATATTTTAGAAATGTGTCATGATACAGTCTTTTTCCAAATATACAACACCCTTACAAGGCTGGTCCTTGTATATGAGCCAGAGATATGGACATTTTCAAAAACCAATGAGAAAGTACTAGCTTCATTAGAACAAAAAATCCTGAGGCATATATCTAGAGGAGTAAAAGAAAATAGCGTATGGCATAGAAGAGACAATAGGTACAAGGTACGTTTCTAGTAGTCGGAGAGCAACTTGTAATCTCTCACATAGTATGTTCTCAAACTTACCACTTTGCAGGACAGCACTATCGTCTGCATATGCTATTGTGTAGAAACCGCTACTGCTGAGTTGGTGGTCAACCAGGGTATCTAGAACTATGTTCCAGAGAAGTGGTGATAGCACCCCTCCCTATGGACACTTCCTCGTAGTCATGCCTCTAACAGAAACGTCTTCTACGAGCATACTGAATATCCATTCGCTTACGGCCAGGGGAACATTCCTGACGTTGAGCTGTTGGGTGATGGTTGAGAATGTGGTTTTATCATACGCTCCCCCAATGTCTATCAATATACCCAGGGTGGATTCTTTATTATCCAGCGATCTTTCAATTCTTCCGAATACATGACGTAGTGCAGAATCGGTAGATCTTCCCGAAATATATGCATGCTCCATTTGGGTAAAGTAGGTTATAGACCAGAACTTCATCCCTTATGTACCTCTCGCATAGCCTTTCTACCGTTTTCAACATAAAGGATGTTGGGCTAATTGGTCGGAAAGCCTTTGGAGGATGTAGTCCATCCTACCTGGTTTTGGTATGAAGACCACACGTACCTCTCTCCACTTCCTAAGAATATATCTCAGAGCCAAAGAGGCTCTGAATATTTCCACGAGGTGCGGCAGAAGGATATCTAGTCCCCACCGTAGTAGGGCTGGATATATGCCGTCAGGCCCTGGAGATTTGTAAGGGGTGAAGCACAATATGGCCCATTTTGCCTTTGCCTCATTATTCATTATTTTGGCGAGATGCCAGTCGTTTATTAAGGGGATGATTGCTTTTTTCGTCCAGTTTGGTGCTGTTGAGGCGCTAGAACCGAGAAAGGGTGTTTTCGTCGCGAAAGGGTCGCGACCTCAGCACTTTTGCAAAGGTTGGAAGTTTTTTTTCCATCTTCCTTCATTAATATACCGACATGCCGATGTGGGTTCTTTAAGCGCGCTTTTTGTAGCCTGGAATCCTGCGGGAAATCTTCGATTTCCTCACAGAAGGTTCTCCAAGCAGCTCTTTGTCTTTGCCTGCAGACTTTTTTACGCAGCAACTTTATCCAGACAACGACTTTTGAAGAATGTAATTTTGTAAGACTCAAATAACCAAGTCTAATGATGAACAAAATTTTATTAAAAACATTTTATTTACTGGTGAATCTTCGGTTTCGTTAGTAGAGGACACAATGCTTCCAGAATCGAGGAATATGAAAGAATGTTATAAGAAATGAACCGGGTATACGTGATGAAAACCAAAATCGACGGACGGAGATGTATATCCCATGCATTGGTATGTGTTACTAAATGGGGTTTTCTCGTTTTCTTTCTAGTTGTCGAGAGGGGGGGATCGGAGCATTACAATTACTTCGTACGAGGAATGTTGCCGATCTTAGCGTTTTCTATAGCTTGTTTGCAATATCTAATCCAAAACTTACCGTACTGTCTTCTTCTTAACGTGCCCTATCAAGTCCCCATGACGTTGGCGATTAACGTGGCGAAACTGTCTCTGTCTCGAGCTATTCTAAAGAGTTGCTTAGCTTTCCTTATTCCTGTCCACTCCCTGATATTCTTCAACCAAGAGGCCTGCTTTCTACCAATTCCTCTGCGTCCTTCGATTTTACCCATCATAATAAGTTGAAGAATATTATATCGGTCTCCCCTTACTACGTGTCCAAAATAGGCCATCTTTCTACATTTGATGTTATCAAGCAGCTCGCGACCAGCATTTGCTCTCTTAAGGACTGCTACATTTGTCAGCATAGCCGTACATGGAATTTTTAGTATACGTCTGTGCAGCCACATTTCAAAGGCCTCCAGACGATTAATGGTGGATATTTTTAATGTCTATGCTTCGACACCGTATAAGAGGACTGACCAAATGTAGCATTTAACCATGCGCTTTCGAAGTTGAAGTTGCAAGTTATCATTACAGAAGAATGACCTCATTTTTAAAAATGTCGTGCGGGCTATCTCGATTCTACATTTTATCTCTTGATCTGGATCTAGTTGTTCAGTAATATGGCAACCAAGATAATTAAAACTGGACACTCTTTGAATTATATGACCATCAACATATAATCGTGCATCTTGATGTGCTAAACTGCTAAACACCATGTGTTTTGTTTTTGAACAGTTTATGTTTAGGCCAAACTCTCTTCCCACTGTATCAATGGCATTTAAAAGGCATTGTAGTCTATTCATGTCATCACTTAAAATAACTGTATCGTTTGCATATCTGATTTTATTTATCAGAATTCCATTAACTTTCACGCCCTATTCCAAATTATGCAGCGCTTCTTTAAATATTCTATCTGAATATAAATTAAATAACAGTGGGGATAGTATACAACCCTGTCTGACACCTCTTTGTATTTTACATATTTCTGTTGATTTTCCGTTTATGCGAGCTGTCGCTGTTTGACGCCAGTATAACTTTTCTATGAATCGTATGTCTTGACTATCAACTCCTTTATCTTTTAATATTGTAATTAATTTGTGATACTGTACTCGATCAAAGGCCTTTTCGTAAATAATATGTCTTCCTTTGTCTTCCTATGTCTTTCCTTTGATCTCGACATTTCTGCAGTAATACATTTAGTGCAAAGAGGGCGTCCCGAGTTCCCAGTCCATTTCTGAAGACAAATTGGGTTTCATCCTGGTCTTCTTCACATTTATCTCTGATTCTACTGTGGATGATGCGTAGAAATATTTTTAAAGTGTGGCTCATATTACCGTACTGTATAATGTTGAATTATAAACAATACACAAAGAACCTAACAGAATATAATAGGATATCACAAAAAATACATTTCTGTTAAATATTGTTTTAATAATGTAGACTGATACCTATTTTTTGTTATTTTCTAGAGATCTGCATTGTCTTAGGAATAAAATCCACATAAACCTTATGTGGTCATATATTTTAATGTACTGCAGTTGGATCATGATGCTTATATTAGTAAGTATCTCTTGCCTTATTTTTATTATAATATGAGAACTATCTAAAGTCTGCTTGTCTTTATGCTAAATTCAGTACTAAATTTAGTACTAAAAATATTGTATTCACAAATTAGATCGCGCGTCAATTCAGTACTAAAAATTAAAGCATGTCCTAATTTCTTGCACTAAAAATGATGAAATATTAACTAAAAGTGAGGATATTCTCCCACAATAAATAAATTGTTAGTTTGTAAGAAACATTTCAACACCCCGTATTTCGGAAAAGGAAGCATTTGTGGACATACGTTTATATAGCAGACTGTCTTTTACTATTATTTTTTGGTGCAGAATCATCCCCCAAATATTGCTTATTCAAATGAACTAAAATAGACACTTTGATCCTCTGTAACTCAGAAACAGTTGATTTCTGAGTCTTGGGGGCAAAGTTTCAGCCAATTTAACTGAAACCACCTTTACATAGGAAAAGAGCCGGGATACTAAATTTTTACTTGCTTATGTCATTATTATTCGTACCCCGCATATACAATTTATATAGAAACATTTTTTTTTGTTGTAGATTAATTACAAGAGCGAAGTATTATTCTGTGGGTTTGGTACCATGCTGTTGCATTACTCCCATGTTTCTACATTCTTTTGGATGTTCGTTGAGGGTAAATATGCCATCGTACTTTTATATTTAACATCATTATAAGTTTTAAATTGAGTTGGGCACTTAAATCAATTATTAGTTGAATGTAAAAGCTGCTGGTTTAATGTCTGTTGCATATTCACTTAGAAACTTCCTGCTCAATCTAAATATATGTCAAAAAATTTCAGTTACTCACCTTTTTACTATGCCATTACTATGCCATAATAGTAGCAGCCTCATGTCGTTTTAAAACTCTTTTTGTTTTATTTAACATATTTATTTTATTCAATAATTATATATATATATATATATATATATATATATATATATATATATACAGGGTGATTGATTAGTGTGAGGAAGCTCAGTAGATCTGTTATAGTAAAAATTACAAAAAAAAGTTCTTATTTTTGAATTTGAATTTTCCGTGTTTCTCATGGATACTCTCTTGATGTGGCTTTCCTTCCCCATTATATTCGCTTGATTTCCATTCAGTATCAGCTGGAAATGTTCCCTCCATCTTTCCATTATTGTCTTATCGTCGTTTATTATTGTTCCTTCCTTGTTGAGTATTTGTTTCAGATTCATTTCTTTGTTCCTTCTTAGGGTTTTCAGTGTTCTATAAAATAATTTTACGTTTTCTGTGCTGTTTTCTTCCATTTTTTCTCCGAATGTTTTCCAACTTTTCTTTTTCTCTTTATTAACTGTCTCTTTAACTTTTGTTCTTTGTCTCTTATAATGTTCATATTTTGGTTGTGTTTTGTCTTGTATGTATTCTTTCCGTAATTTCTTATTTTCTTTTATTTCTTTTTCGACTTTATCGTTCCACCAAGATGTACGTTTTCCTTTGTTGTTATTTCTTATAGTTCCACATATTGATTTAGCTGTTTTAATCATAGCATTTTTAAATTTTCATTTTGTTTTTATTATTTCATGTCCATTGTCCATCTCTTTCTCTAGCCCTTCTAAGTATCCTATTTTCGTTGTTTCTTCCCTTAGTTTATAAATTTTTATTAATTCTTTGCGTTTTCTGTTTATGTTCTCATTTCTTTTTATTTCTTTTCTTTTGCTTTTGAATGTGGTTACTAGTAGATAGTGGTCACTACTAATTTCATAACTGCTTTTTACTCTTACGTTTCTTATCCAGCTCTTCTGTTTTTTGCACTATAGTATAGTCTATAATTGATTGTTCGTCTTTTGATTTGACTTCTCTTATAATCTTGTGTATCCTTTTATGTTAAAAGTGTGTGTCACGTGTGTGTGTGTGTGTGTGTGTGTGTGTGTGTGTTTTGGAAGAATCACCAGGATATTGTCTAGACAAAATTCGAGTAGTAATTTTCCATTTTTGTTTATTTTTTCCTCCCCATAAGGTCTGATGACATTGTTCCATTTTTCTGCTTCTTTCCCCACTCTACGGTCTCCTGTGATCACAATTTTTTCTGTACAATCATTTATCACTTTCTGTAATTTGTCTGTTCTGTAATTTCGTGTTTTGTTGCGTCTTCATCTGGTCCATAATATACGATTAGGTGTGTATTGGTTTCCTCTGTATCCATACCTATGTCTACTCTTAGTATACGTTCATTGTAATATATCCAATTTTTTACTTTTTGGTACTGTCCTTCTTTATCATGCACGCTACTCCTGCCTGAGCTCTCTTCGTTTCTTCCACTTCACTGTATATTAGTAACATTCCGTTTTCTAATATTAGTGATCCTCTTTCTTTTTTCTTTGTCTGTGTCACAGCTACTATTCCAATGTTCTTATCTCTAATTTCTTCCCCCAGTTCTATTTCCTTCCCATTTATACCTCTTACATTCCATTTGCCATTTTCAAAATTGTTTTGTTCCTTTCTGTGTTTAAGTTGTACTTCAATTTGTTTTTCCTTCCGTTTGTGTTATTATCTTTAAATCTGCTTATGCCCCTGTTCTGTGCCTGTTTTGTTTCTCGGTCCGTCATTGTTTTTTCTTCAGCTAGTTTTTTGAACAAGTTGGTTCTCTATTGTATGTTACTTTTCCTATCCGGCTTGTTTTTTGATTCAATTTCCACTTAATGCCTTTAATAACTATGAAACCATATCCAATTTTTGTCCTTTTCCCATTAGTCTTTTCATCAGCTGCTATCTTTCTAAGGTTTCGTTGAATTTCTAACTTTTAATGTTAGGTCACATTCTATAGGTATATACTCTATGTTGCTTATAGTTCATTAGTTTACCCTTGGCTTTCAGTATTTTCATTTTATCTTCGAATTTTTTACATTCGATAACACACATTGTTTTATTTATTTTTTGTACCCAATATTCTGATTTTACTCCCATTTTTGTTTCTATTAAGTTGTCAAAACCTGAATTATATTCTTTATATTACACAATTTAAAACAAAATTAATTAAAGTATACAACATTTGTAAGGTCCTTTAATAAAAAATGGATATTAATTACAACTTACTTTATAATTATGATGCAAACTTTGTGCTTGTAGACAACTTAAATTAGATTGTAATTTAGAAATTATACAACCCTTAGCAAATGTCACCACGAACCAGTCTCTATATATAAAGTACAGTGAGGGGCCCTATATAACTTCAAGAACTTCGTCAAACTCTTAATGTACCGTAATGTAATTTATTTCAGGAATGTATCTCTATATTCTTGTCGTTAAAACTCTCAGACATGATACTTTTAAGTTGCGGATATACGTCAGCATTGGATGGGGTAAGTGAAACATTTATTATCTGAGTTAATATTTAAGGACATTATAAACACCTCTAAAGTATTCAAATTTGTGGTAAATACGCTCTGAGCATAATTGATCAAGAAGTCATTCTAGAATATATCATTATAATATTACTCGAAATGAACAGCTTATCCTATGGCATTCCTTATCTGATGTAACACAAAACGACACTATTCTATCAGATGTATATGTACAGAAAGTATTCTCTATTTTTGTATTAATATTTAAACTCATTCTATATAAAAATGTTGAATGGGTTGCATATGTGAATCCATTTCAATTTAGGTAAAACGAAATTTTACTCACAATTAATAATTCTACTACTGTAACTTTTTTTCTTTTTATGTATGACTCTGGCTGTTTTTCAATATGCCTCCAGTAAGTTGTCATTCCTTCTGATCGTCTTCTTATTGGGGAATTCTCTCTTGCCGTCTTTACTATTCTTTTTGTTGTCATTCGACTTACATGATCGTTCCATTCTACTCTTCTACTTCTTACCCAATCCTCGATGTTCTCCACCTTGCATCTACGTCGTATATTTGTACATCTAGCTCTATCCTATAGTGTTTTACCATCAATTTTTCTAAGGGTTTCCATCTCTCTCTCTCTCTCTCTCTCTCTCTCTCTCTCTCTCTCTCTCTCTCTCTCTCTCTCTCTTTCTCTCTCTCTATGTAGGTCGTGTTTCTGTCGCGTATATTAGTATTGGTCTGATGAACTGAGTCTTATAAAAACATAAAGCTTCTGTTTGACTTGACTCAAACTAATAATACTTCATTCGAATTTGCTTCAGATTTAAAACTATTGATCATTGTTGTTTTGTATAAAACTTAGAGGCCGTTGGTTAAATGATATTAGATAAATAACAATGAAGAAAAAATGCAATATTTTGATTGTAAATAAATTAGCGGAAAATAGCAAATACAACTGTGAATAAATTACGAAATTAACTGGTCTTACTCATTATTGTTGTCTGTACAAAGAATATGTACTTACCCTTTGGTTATATTGATGTATTAGTAACAGACTGTAGAGTTGGTCGTGGTGCGTCACGACGCCGAGGCTACATAGAGCGAGAACCGTTAAAACTGGGTCCGTTTCGTTCGCTGCCTTGGGATGAAGGGTCTGGGTCTTGAGATCGTCAGGTCAGAAACCACCCTATGGCCACGCTTCCAAGCGGTTGGTAGGAAGAGTGTATACCAATAAATCACTCTATTGTATTGCGATTTTAAATGTCGATAATTTAAGTTAATTGTCACGGTAATAAGATCCTTTGAATCAGTTTCTATATTGTGGCTTCTTCTTTAAGTGCCGTCTCCCAATCGGAGGTTGGATATCATCATCACTATCTTTACTTTATCTATTGCTGCTCTAAAGAATTATATAGAACTGCATTTAAACCATGACACTTTCCTTCTTCCTATACTCCTTCCTCCTCTTATCTTTTCCTGTATTATCAGCCTTAGCAGTTCATATCGCTGTCCTCTCATTACATGTCCCAGATATTGGACACAAAATAGAAAAGAGAAGCCAAATTCTCCGTACTTAAAACATAATAAATGAGATAGCCAGTTTAACAATTTTGCGAAATAACAGGAAGCAATATATTTTAAGAAAGTCGTTAGAATACAGCAGTGAATTAGATCACATTGTAGTACACTAAAAGAAAAATATTAAATGTAAAAATATGAAAAGAAATAGTACATACTTTCCCAAACAATTGTGAATGGTCAACAAACGACTTCTTCCACGTATCCTTGTCCATATGGTTATATCACTGTACAATATTTTAAAAATTCTCAAAATGAAAGTATAATTACAGAAAAGTTAAAAACGTATGGCGTTTAAAAAAAAGACTACGATAAGTATGGTTCCTATGGTAATGATAAAAAAGCAGGTGATATTGTGATAGCACAATTAAAAAAAAAGTTGTAAACCCTTTTAAAAAAATATTTGTTTGACTGCTCAGGATAATCGATAAACAAGGGTTTTAAAGGGTAAAGGGCACATACGATAAATTAAGTCAAATTGGTTTTGGATTAAATGGTGTTTTTGAAAAGTACCAACTAATAAATCAAAAAATGATTCATAGAACACGGATTGCCGTAAATGCTCTCAACTCAACACAAATGAAACAAGGTTTTTCTTCGTTACAATTTTCGGTATTAATACTGTCCATGTCGTCAGCTTCATCATTTTCGTATGATGTCGAATCTTCTGAAGATTGCAGTACTTTTCTCTTTACATATTTGTTTTTCTTTTTTAGAATTTTTTTATTTCCTCTTCTATTGTTTGTGTCCTTCTAAGCTCCTTTTGTTCGAGTTCTAATTTCAAAGGCGTTGAGGGTAATATTTCGGATCTTCGTTTTTTTCTTCCACCCTTCTTTAGAGCAGATATTTTTTGTTTTTCTGTCAACAAAGACAACATATTACTGAAGGAAACAGTTTGTTTATCTTCTCATATCTGGTTTTCTTTAGAAAAAATCTTCTAAAAGATCTTCTGGCACTCATATAACAACATACCATCGCATTCTTGCCTCTTTCTCCACTTGTAATGTCCCCAACTTGCTTTTGGCCTTTAGGACCAATAAACCGATTGGGCCGATTTACGTTTGTAATGCCAGTCTCATCGACATTAAATATTCGAGTAGGTGAAAACTTTTATTCATCGTACTTGTATTGATCCTTATTGAAACCTTGAATGCGATTAAGGTTTGTTGCTTCGAATTTACAGAAACTTAACTCAGGATGCCTTGACATGAATCCATATTGCCAGTCTTTACCTGCTTCTTGTTTTTCTCTTATGAAATTATGTTTTAAGTTTAATTTCTCCACACAGGAGAAATTAAACTTAAGAAATTAAGGAACTGAACTGTTTTTATTAATCTAATTCATTAACTTTATTTATTATAAAAATGTTCTAACACTTAGTTTATTAGAGTCTTTATTTATTTATTACAGTCTTACACTTGTTACTAAAAACTAGAATACAACTACTTTCATTTATATTATTTATTTAAAATATTTTACAATCGATACCATTATTCAGACTACTGTTTACAAAAATTTCTTCCATATATACTAAATACCCGTTATTCCGAAGTTCCCTAGAATTCGGACGGTGACCTTTGCCGACCCCTTCTCGAATAGGACGGAACGCCAGACAGGTTTTATCGAAAGAGAACCTACTAGAAAATACTTATTAGAAATAATATGTTTACAGTTTAGGTATGAGTCATATTTATCGTAACAGAACTAAACCATCATCGATCCAAGAAAATTTGTTGGTACTTTGTTTCCTTTGAGAAGGAATCTGAAAAGACACAAATTGGTAAATAAGCAAAAACTATAAATAATCTAAGCCAAATTGTTGATGTTTGTGATTACCCGATTTGGAAATGAATATGAAGAAACATAAAAAACTATAACAATATAAATAAAACTATCAAGTGTCTAGGTACATAACTTATTTTCTGTACTGCAAACATTGTAGTGCAGCCACCAAAAACAAATAAATCCTTGTAAAACAAGTCTGTAAAACAGACTATTTACTTCAGTCATCAGAGACAAAAATGCCACTGAACCTCTAAAAATCATACGAACAAACTAAATTTTGCCGAGAATATTAATTTTGGACCCCAAAAAGATCCAAAGACCCAAACAAAGTTTACCACTTTTAGCCCCGGGCTTCCCCTAAAACACCCTAGAGGGTTAAAAAAGGAAAAAAAATTGATTTACGAAGAATCTGTACGCGGTAGAAAAAATGTTTTAAATAAAAAAAGGTAGCTGGGATAATTTTATCAGTTCGACGGTAAAAATTCGATTTCTTTTGATTCAAGTGTTCTATATAAAACTGACCTTTATAAAAACTGAGTTTATTCCCGGCAAAATACAAAAACTGCATACTGCATACGAAAGCTGCACCCTTTACCTTTAAAACGCATCTTAATTTTTGTCGATAGAATACTTTGATCAAAAGATATCGAATTTTTACCGTCGCGTCGGGTTGATACAAATTTTATTGAACCTTGATTTCGCGCGCGTAACTGACATTCAAAATCGGCGGTCGCTTCAAACGTTGTTTCTAAGAGAACGGTTCATTCTACACAAAAAGTTTAAGTATGTGTAACTTTAAAAGTATTTATTATGTTTATACTATATTTATATTATTCACAGTCTAGCCATTGTCGTTATTTATATGAAAAAAATACTTTATTTCTTTAAAATTTAAAAATAAATATTTCTTGTTACTCTTAAGAAGTACGATTTGCTCTGTAAAAATTTTTGAACCCTTGAATATTGTATAAAAACACACTGTCCACCGATTTCGTCTACATGTTCATAAAACTAAAAAATCGGTAAGAAGAGGTGCGACCAGTTACTCAAAAATTTCTTCTATCTGATCTATCTTCTTCTATCTTCTGACCTAACACAGCTACCCAATTTCAGGTGCTCCATTGATCATCGTCATTTTATGGGCCGTAATTAAGGGACTAGTAACTATAAAGGATAGCAATGTAAGTATGTATATTTTTTATCTTTTAATGTAATATAACAGTTAGCAAGAGATGAAGCAGAATATCTAGTAGATACTTTCAATGGATTACTTCTAATTGTTAATTTCTTATCTTCCCACTATATAAAATGTTTATTTTATCGCATCGTACTTTCAATACAAAAATTACAATGCCTACTATTCTATAAGTTTCAGCATGGCCAGTTCAAAATTCAATCTGATAACATTTTTATTAAATTTTGTTGTAATCTGCCAAAGTATTGTAGAAAGTAATTGATATGGCAACCCTCTTAGTATGACGTTTCGTTTGAAGCGTTTCGAAGCCGAAAGTAATGCTATCTTTGATAAATACTACTGATGTTTCAGATGGAGTACTCTCTACAATACAATTTGATGGCGGCAGTTCAAGATATAATTCTTGTTTAACGAGATTTTTCATATGTTTAGGAAAAAATGATGTTGTTATTAAAATTTTGTCCGGTTTCTTACCGGTAGATTTAAGCCGGAACATATTATTTTTTCCTATTGTGGCAAAACTGTACATTCAAAAATTTTCAAAAACTCATAAGCATTTCTTAGGATTATATCTTTATGATATAAGAAAATTAACAAAATTGTATGTTCGGTTTTCACGCTTTGTAATTGGAAAAAGTAGTTTTTTTTTAACTTTTTTCGAAAACGAAAACATGAAGTTTGCTCAAAATTTGACAAAATACTTCCAATAATCACATATGCCTTCTCAAAATTTTCCAAGTTTTTTAAATGTGTAGTTTGTCTTTTGGGGGTCCAGATTGATTTTTAGAAGATTTTAATTAATGACATATTGTTGCAGTGTTTTTGGTTACAAAACGATCTACTAGACTGGATTTACCTATCTCCACCTCTACTAGTTATTTGCCTAAATCTGGTATTTCTCGTCCAGATAATGTGGGTACTCATTACAAAACTCCGTTCATCTCCCACAGTAGAGCATAAACAGCACTACAAGGCAGCGAGAGCTTTGTTGGTACTCATGCCCCTGCTGGGAGTGACATGGGCAGTCACTATTTACGTACCCGCCGGCACGATAAACACCAAGTTGTTCGAATACATACAGACAGTTCTGCTATCAACACAAGTAAGTACATACGATTATATATACAGAGTACTTAATAGATTTAAGGTTACTTAAGGAAGTTCATTTTATCAAGCAATAAAACACTGAAAACTTTTATTTTCAATATTTTAACAATTTTTTTATTAGAAATAATTGAATGCTATGCTGGAACAACGTTGTAACCGCCAATACTTTCATATGTGGGTTTTTATGAAACAACGTTATATATGTTCAAAATAATGTACTACTCTCTGTAGAAAATATAATGACACTTAACTTGCCTGTTTTGGTAGCTGTTCATAATATTGGGAATAATACTGCTACAATAATGCTGTAAAACGAAGTAATGGGGCATCGAGGCTCCACTAAGATAGCATCAGCATTGCTACTTTATATAACTAAAAACTTCAATCGTCTTGATCCAGACCAAGACAGAAAATTTGTTATTTGGTCAGATAAATGTGTCGGTCAAAAAAAACTACGGAAGAAAAAGATATTTTCAGATCGGCAACCGAATTACAAGCATTTATTAAAGTTTCTTCCACAATTAAAAATAGACACTTGTTTAGAATTGGTGCAGGTTTTATACAAAAATAAGTTAATATCTTCGTTTCCAAACGTTAATATTTGCCTGCGTATTTTTTTCTCCGTAATGGTCGCAAGTGCAAGTGGGGAACGCTATCTTTCCACACTAAAAAGGGTAAAGACCTACTTAAGAAATGCAATTTCCCAAGAAAATTTGAACTTCTTAGCAGGTTTATCCATACACGAGGACCTGCTAAATGAATTAAATATAAATGATATCATCGAAAACTTTGCTCCAGTAAAAGCAAGCAAATAAGCTTTTCAATAGTAATGGTATTTGATTACCTACCTCATGTTACCTGTAAAAATGTTACATTTTAAACGTACATTTTTATCGTACTTTTTGAAGTTCGCCCTTATTTTTTTTTTCTGTATTTTTTCAGTATTCATTTAAGTTTGAAACCAAAAAAAGTTGTAGGTAATTGTTTTCCTTATTTTAATAAACTTGTATTCCAAATATGTTTTGTTGAATTGAAATAAGGTTAAGAAATATTTTTAAGCCTGGGCGCGGCATCCGTATCAGCACCGGGCAGGAGACTGTGTTAAACCGGCACAGGACCTGGCAGGATGTTTTCTCAAAGCTTTTTTCATTTCGCGTCACAATGTCCCAATCGGGGACAAGTCAGGACTGTTCGAAACCCATTCCAGACTTGGTATGCCATGGTCTTTAATCCGTTTTAAACTTTTTTTAAGGTATGACAACCTGCACCGTCCTGTTGGAAGACAAAATCTTCCGCTGATGTTAAACGATGTTTAATAATCGCTAAAAGAAATTCAAATATTCGTCCGTGTTTACAATCCCATCGGTAAAATGTAATTTCCCCACACCTTTAGACGACATGCTGCCCCAGATCATGACAGATGCAGGAATTTTGACTTTTCTATTTAGACAATCGGGATGGGAAGCTTCATTTTTCTTGAGAATGGCGCGACTTCTACTGTCTCCAACACACACTTCAAATCTGGACTCATCACTCCATTGTATTGAATCCTATTGCGACTGAGTCCAATATTTATGCCCTTTTGACCATCTTAGTTTATTTTTCTTTTGTTGTAATGTGAAAAGTGGCTTTTTCTTAGCCTAAAATAAAATTAAATTTATTAAAAATAATTCGTACTAATTTTTTTAAGTATAAGACTTACTTGATAAGTGCCAAATCTTAATCTGTGGGCCTCTCGATGACATGTTGATCTAGAAATGTGTCTTCCAATAACGTCACTCCATAAAACGTTTAACTTTATATAATTTGCCCGTCAATTTTTTACTATACCTAATGCGTCTTAATGCCCTTCGATCTACTTCGATCATTTTCTTTTTCGTACATTTCTAGGCTTTATGACGAGCGAACCTGTAGTTTTATATCTTCTGACTATATTTCTTAAACTATAGCGTAACGATTGCAACATATTCGCGATTTGCGAATTAGATTTTTCAGAATTAAAACAGAATGATTGAACAATTTTTCTCATCGATAACTTTACCTCGACCCATTGTACAATCCACAAACGGCAAAAAGCTTTACAATACGACAAAATACATTTTTTGGCATTAATTGACAACATTACATATTGTTTTGATGTCATTTTTTATAGCTACCTTTGGATTTAACGAAATTATGAAAAAATCAACGTAAGTTGATATAAGTGAATGCATAGCCAGGGTTTAGTGATTTTTTTTTATTGTTGAAAATAAATAAAAAACTATAAAGGTAATAGGTTTTTAATAAATATTAATAACAATGCCATATTAATTCGTATGGGAACTTATAAAAATATACAGAGTATAATTTATTTATGGTAATCGACTTAAACTGCAAATTCCATAGGTGGGCCAATTGATATTAGAAGGGGTTCGTATATCCTGGTTTTGGTACAGTTTGAGATATCCATTTAAGGAAAAACTAGGTGTTTCCAGACTTTTGGTTGACTATGAATGTACCGGGTGGTCCAATAAGCCGATCTCTCGGCTATATATCAGAAACTATTCATGTTATAACTTTAGGAGAAAAAATTCTTTAGTAAAAGTGGCCAAGAGAAATCGCTGGAAATAACTTTTAAGTTTCTGGGTTAACCGCTAGGGGGCGTAACCTGTGAAGAAAAATTTGAAAACCAGTTTTTTGTGAAATATGCCCAATTATACCAAGTGTTAAATAAGTAAGCTAGAAAGAGGCCTAAATTCCTCACAAAGTTGTTAAAGTACTTTTTTATATTTTTTTCAAATAAAGGGTGGGGGAGAGTGGCAAAGTATTTGTGGATAAATACCTATAACTTTGGTTTGGATCAACCGATTTTAACGAAATTAGTGTTATTAGAAAGAGTGTGGATGATTTAATGTATATCTACTATAAAACAATTGCATTTAGTTTTAATTGTCATGGGTAGAGGGTACTTTCAAATAGAAAAAATTAAAATTTGTTTTTCTTCAAAATGTTTAATGGAAACACCTATTTATTGTAAATTATAATGGAACTGGATTAAATTCTTAACAAAATGGAGCAAACAGCATGTTGATAGCTTTTGTCGAACTCGAGATATGAATAAAAACGCATAAACATAAGTAAGTATAGTATTGACTCACCCTGTATTATAAATTAAAATTAAATATGTGAAAGATCATACAAATATCTCGATCATTAAAACTTAATGTCAAATTAAATGTTTAAATTGTTTTCCATCGTTGTCCACACAAAGATGTAATCTTTCGCGCGTAGACATAACAGCTGCTTCAATCTCAGCTGTTGATATACTATTTATTGCGTTTTTTAATGCGCTGTTTCATGTCGTCTCGCGTGGTTGGTCGAGTTTGGTACACTAAGTCTGGAGATCTATCTGGCCATGAAAATATACTTTCCCTTCCAATCCAGTTATTTGGATAACTTGCATACAAATAATCTCGAACTCGTCTGGAAAAGTGCGCAGGACACCCGTCATATTGTAATATCATATCTCTTCTTGTTTGTAAGGAAATATCTTCCAATAAAACAGACAACTGATTTTCCAGAAAATCCAAATATGTTTCGCCATTTAAAGTTCTATCAAAGAAATATGGACCTACGATCTTTCCATTAACTATACCACACCAAACATTAAGACTCCATCTACCTTGAACCTGCACCTCATGTATGCAGTGCGGATTTTCTTCAGCACAATAATGCATATTATGCAGATTAACACCACCCGCACTATTAAACGTAGCCTCGTCTGTCCACAAAATCTTTGACATGATATGCGGTTGTTTTTCTAGCAGACCTAACATCTAATTGCAGTAATCCAGCCTTGCATCAAAATCTCTCTTATGTAAAGCTTGGTGGAGAACTACATGATTAGGATGCAGTATAAAAAACAGAACAACAAATATTGGTGAAAAAGAAACCACTATATTTACTAAAACTCAAAAAATCTTGAAAAATCCACAATTGTTTCACAAGATAAATCGTGCATAAGTATTTTTAAGAAACGGATAAAAGGATAAAAGTGCCGTGTTGCCGTTTTTATCGGAATATGAAAATAACAGTTGAATCTAAAGTTTAAAGAGAATTCCAAGTTTCTGACCTAAACGTTCACTTTATAATATGAAAAACCAACCTGTGGTGTTTTAAAATCCTTAGAACAGTAGTTTTGGGTATGTTTAATTCTATAGAGATTAGCCGACTACTTATATGTGAATTTTGTTGAATTAAAGCAAGAACATTGATTGAATTATCTTCGGCCATACCTCTACTATGTCGTTTAAAACAAGGACGATGAAAACTACCAGTTTCTCTTAATTTTCTTGCCTTTCTTTCAAATACTTCTTTGGCATAATGTCTCCTCTCAGGATATCTTACAGAATATATACGTGAGGCAATAGCGGCATTTTTGTGACATTCGAAATAAACTCCAATCATATCATACAATTCTGCATTTGATATACTCATCACGAATTGTTAGTACTGATAATTAATTACTAATATTACCAATATTATTATCTATTGAAAAAAATGCAATCTTCAATTCGAATTATAATATAGCACTTTTTAACAATGTTTTGACTGATGTCAATAAATAAACAATATGAACTCTCCGTCAAATTCATTGTCGTAGCCTACTTAGTTTCGAAAAAACTATTTTTAATCATATGGAATAACAATTTTTAAAATAGGTATCAACATTAAGATTCTTCTGCTATAAAATTTTTTTAAAGTACCTACTGTCTTATTGTTTAATTTATAATACAGGGTGAGTCAATACTATACTTACTTATGTTTATGCGTTTTTATTCATATCTCGAGTTCGACAAAAGCTATTAACATGCGGTTTGCGCCATTTTGTTACGAATTTAATCCAGTTCCATTTAAATTTACAATAAATAGGTGTTTCTATTTAACATTTTGAAGAAAAACAAATTTTAATTTTTTCTATTCGAAAGTACCGTCTACCTATGACAATTGAAACTAAATACAATTATTTTATAGAAGATGTAAATTAATTCATCCACACTCTTTCTAATGACACTAATTTCTTTAAAATCGGTTGATCCAAACCAAAGTTATAGGTATTTATCCACAAATAGTTTCCCACTCTCCCCCACCCTTTATTTGAAAAAATAAAAAAAAGTATTTGAACAACTTTGTGCGGAATTTAGGTCTCTTTCTAGTTTACTTATTTAACACTTGGTATAATTGGGCATATTTCACAAAAAACTGGTTTTCAAAGTTTTCTTCACAGGTTACGCCCCCTAGCGGTTAATCCAGAAACTTGAAAGTTATTTCCAGCGATTTCTCTTGGCCACTTTTACTAAGGAATTTTTTCTCCTAAAGTTATAACATGAATAGTTTCTGATATATAGCCGAGAGATCGGCTTATTGGACCACCCGGTACAATTTAAAAAAATGAGTGTTATCCGTCGAGATAAAAAACAAACAATACATTTTCACAAAATTTCATTGGAATCGATTCTGTGGTTTCGAATATTTGTGAGAACAAACGACGTGACATGATTTTTGATAGACGAAAGATATATTCTGTAATTACAAGTTTTATTTTAAAAACAGATTCCAATCGGCAAGTGGAAACAACAACAAAAGTTTATGTAATTAGGTACTTTTATTAAAGTAATTAGGTAGTACAACTACTACTAATTTATTATAAACTAGTAGTAGTTGGCACAAACACAGAAGAGAGAATATTGCGTAATTGTTTGTTGGACAAATGAAGTGAGTCGAACTTCTCTATGAAAAGAACATTAACCCCACGCATTCTTAATATCGAATATGAAACACAGCACGTTCTACTGTGTATTGTGCTCAAGCTAATTATCGCCATGCAAAGGGGACCGATTTATATCAAGATTTACCTCAAGACCTACATATATCCGCCTAAAATCCTTAGAACTTATCTCTTGGTTTGATTTACAGTCTTGAATTGTATACGTGAGCAGGGAAAAATTCTCAACATAACACATATATGTATCATTATTACTAATAAAATCAGGTACTGTTATAGAAACATATTTATTATATCTTCTTCTTAAAGTGCCATCTCCACTATAACTTTCGAAACAGCTGTCTAAAAATTTATTTTTGAGCATCAACCATAAGTGCGCAAGGATTAATAAGAGACTGCGAAAAAGATAAGAGACAGACAGTATCAACGTTCATTCTATATTTAGACAATCTAATTTATTTCATTTATTTCAAATACTCCTTGGTTATACATCTCCTACTAAAGCTACAATGCCACCTCTATATTTTGAAGATAAATGTTTTCTGACAGAACTAACAAGGAATTATTTAATATGGTGCAAAAGAATAAGAACTTTGAAGACTTACAGAAGTTTTGGAGGTTTGGGAGTTTTATGATAAAAGGTTTTTTCCAAACATCAATAAGCTTTTTACAATTTTTATTACTATAACTGAAACTTCGACCAGTGTTGAGTGAAGTACGAGGCAAGTAAAAACCTATTTGAGGAATAACACCGGTATTGAAAGGTCTGGACTTACCCTATTGTCATATCGCTCCAATATCGACGTCAATTGAGACAATGTTTTAGATAGAGTATGTTTCAACTGTAGTGCTGGAAATTTTTAGGAACAGTAAAGCCTCACGAAACAAAGCAGTGGCTTTCCAAAAAATTGTTGAAGTTAGGTACACATAATTTATTAAACAATGATATTAGATTATATTTTTGGCACTATTGTAATACATTTTAATACATGTTAATATAATATATCGCATACATATATTGTCTGTATGTGAAACCATAAATACGTATAACAGATTACAGTATTAGTAAATATTAATAGATATTAATTACAAAGATTGTTTTAACTTTAAAACTTTAATTATTTATATTATTAATCACTTAAACGTAACAAAGTTAAATAGAAGAATATAAGAAATGATTATAATAAAGTAAAAACAATAATACATACATACAGGACAGTTTGGAAAACTTATAATCAAATAGGTTACATAGGTACGTCGTAATGTTAAATTATATTAATCAGTTTTATAATCAGATGCACTATCGTCGTCACTAGAATCAATAAAATCAATCCTTAATTCTTCAGAAATTACATCTATATGATGTTCACTTTCATCTATATGATGTTCACTTTCATGTGAGTTCACACACTTTGTTCCATTTATCTACAGTTACTCTAGCAAATTCCTGTTTCACCAACACATTTACGTCTTCTAACTTAGAATAAACGTTTTGTTTTGCAACTTCATTTTTTATTTGCGCCCAAACCATTTCTATACGGTTTAAGTCTAGATGATATGGCGGAAATTTTAAAAAAACATGTCCATATTCTTGAAGCACTTTGTTAAATTTATATTGAATATGATCTTGTATGTGTCGTTTGATGATTTCATACAATGCGGTTTTAACATTGACGTTACAAATGTTTATTTTTTTTCTGTCAACCAAAATATCATATCCATTTTTTAGAATTACTGGTGGGTGCTTTAATAATTTTTACATTATGATATGGCCCAGTATCAGCAACAACAACAGATCCAATAGGCAAATTGGAGGTTGACTGTTCTTTCATCCATTTTTCATAATTTTCTGAATACACATCATCATGATAATCTCCTGTCTTAGCTCCTGACCTAAAAATTAAAAGGGCATTCTGTATGAAACCCATCTCCCCACCACCATGTACGATAACCAACCTACTTTCTTTTGAAATGTTTTTGAACAATCCTTTGCCAGTGTCATCTGTCCAGCTATTTGGTGTAGTGTGTCTTGCATGTACATAGGTTTCGTCAACATATACAATTCACTTACCTTCGCTTCTGTAATATTTAATTTTGTCCAAATATTTAATGCGTAGAGCACGAATATCATTCCGTTCAAGTAATAGACGTCGATGATCTTTCATTTTCTTCCATTTATATCCCAAATATTTCACAATTCTGTAGAGAGTGAAGAACTCACACTTCCAGTCCACTAGTACACCTTTTCAAGCCTTTTCTGCTTCAATAAAAAAGCTTCAATAATACACGACAACGTTCAGTCTCATGAAAAGATGAATGGAATTTCTAATAAACTGTTTGTCATACTCCCTCAAGTCTGTCACGGATGCTTTCCTTTTAGCAAGCGTTTTAGCTGGAAATTTTAGTGTAGTATTTGATTCTGCGTTTGTTAACATACTTGCTTGTCGAATGAACCTTTCTACTGTACGTAAAGATACTCCAGTAGCTTCACTCACACGTTTAATACTGGTTCGATTATGTTCAATAAATAGTATTTGCATATATTTAAATACATTGTAAACTATTCCTTTGGATTCTGGTGTCAATATGATCTGTTTACTCGTACTACACTTAATCGTCTCCATTCTACAAAATAGTTCTAATACGTGTAGTAGCACCTTGCTTGTTGAGACTCGACAACATAATGAGACTAAATTACGAACTCGTTTGGAATCCAGTCACTAGAAATCCTTGGAAATAATTCTTATCAGTTCTTTGTATATCCTTAACGGATCGTTAAGGAGTCATTATTACTACCTCGCGTTTTTAACTGTTGGCAACCCTAATTTTCGACCGTTTTTTCTCAGGGAACCTTATATCATCATAAAAAGAAACAACGCAAAAGAATTTATTTGCTAAAACCCCTTTGAAATACATGCTTTTTTAACGTGTAATATGTGAAATTTCGTTCAAAAAACTTAAAAAATATTGACTTTTCGAAAAAAAAACTCCAAAGAACTTTTTTGTCTGAATAGTCACTATTATAGCGACTACAAGCGAGTTGGGGTGCTAATCATCCCCAGAGGACAAGCACATATTCTCATAGGGTGGATTTTGATCTTTGAGCTATGTTTTAGTTGCTGCCAAAATTTCAAGCAAATCGATGTATATAAAAAAATTTAGAAGTTTTCTATTATTTTTACCGTCATATCATTGACTGTTAGTAAATTTTTGCATTTCCGTGTATACAAACATTCAAAGAACAATCATCAAAAATGATTCGATGAATATGGCGAGCGTTTTCATCATGGGACAGCGAGACTTGAACAATCAGGTCAATTAGATTAATAATATGATAAGTTAATTAATATGTACCTACATCTATTAACAAAAATTTCAGTATTTTGAATTTTTGTACAAAATGTTTAAATGAAAATTACTCCACAACGCGAACTAACTTTCAAAAGCAGCTAGCACTAATGCAGTCGGCGTCCTCTAATTAGGTTTACCCAATGGGTTTACCGTTTACCCAATAGGTCCGCAGCTTGACGTATTTTCCGACTAGCACAGTGTAATAATTAAATTATACGATTTTTTATGTTTTAGGGTCTGATGATTGCTCTGTTTTATTGTTTTTTGAATACAGAAGTTCAAAATTCTATTAAACATAATTTCAATCTTTGGAAGGAGAAACGATCATTGGGATCTCATCGTTTTTGGACAAACTCAGCACATCATCATCGGTAATTATGAAGTTTTAGCATTAAACATTTCAAAAAATAAATAAAAAATGAATAATCATCTTTCATTATACAAAAAATTAAAATTGTGCAAAGCCAATGCTTTTAAGAATATCATTTCTTTGCAATGACAAATACAAATCAAATATCGCTCTATTCGCTTTATGACTCAGTAGTGCCATCTATTGGCTGATTGCAAAAGCTTACAAGGAAAGTGTATTGTGATCTGTATTGTTGTAAATTTTCGGGAATTTCATTTCTCAATATTAATTTCTTTTGTTAGATATTTCTGGATTTCGTTGTTTTATTATTTTTAGCACTAGATAATTATCTTCTTCAGTAAGTTTTAATTGATGTTTATAATTAATTAGGTGATAGTTTTTTTTTTGTTTTTGATTTCTTTACGTTCCGTACCTTTTGGCGATTTCCATAGGTATTCCTATTTTTGTATTCTAAGTTTCCAACCAAATTATCTGTCTAAACTTCCCAAATTTAGCATTAAAATTTCCATTTATTATTATTTTGTTTATTGCTTTAGCCAGTTTTAATGCGTTTCGGTTAGTTCATAGAATGAATAGTTTTCTATAAGTATAAATGTAGAACATTTTTATTTATTTTTTGATAATTTGTTCGATATAAATTTCTGGATCAGATAGCACATGTTTTCAGCAGGCATACCGAATGGACACTAGTAAATGCTGATGATATTGAACACCCACCCACAAATGAGGCCCAAATTACAAACCACGTAGATGACAACCAAACTGATAAAACAAATAACATTCAAACAACACGTTTCGGTTCGATTTGACATGGGTGTAAAATGGAAAGCTGAATTGTACTGGAGGTGACGTCACGAAATTTGTTTTTTTTATATTTATATACATGTATTGATGCCAAACAAACAAAATAGCATAATCTACTGTCATAATAGTTTATTTTTAAATATTTTTGTTACCTACTAGATATTGGGTAGTTTTTCGTAAAGTATAAAGATAAAGGAAGCATTTTGAGAGGTACGCAACAACTCTCTTTGTCTTTGCTCACATTAGTGAAGTACTAATAGCTAATTTGAAATGTTTCTAAAGGGTTCAAAATTGAAGTAATTGATTGTAGAATCAATTCCTGCATGTAAACTTAAAAAATCGTGACGTAACATTGTGTGGTATTGTAAAGAAGATTCGAATTATGAATTCAATGAATTCGTTATGATGCAAGAGTCAACAGCTAAACTATAAGAAAATGAAGAATTTATCTTTTTTAAATAAATTGGTGAAACAACTAGAATTTATTGTGTTTTATTCTATTTTACATTAAAATATAAATAGTTATAAGAAAATGTAGCAGGGGGCGGGTTTTGGGACAGGAAGTGGCCAAGGTCACGTTTGTCCCCAAACGGCTCGTCCGATGGTGACGTACGACAGCTCGTTGAAAGGAGGGAAGGCCAACAAATCCATAGGTACAGAAAAAAATATGGCGGCGTAATGCCAAAAAAATGTTAAGCTTGAATTGCCTAAACGGCTCGTCTGATCGTGACGTACGATAGCTCGTTGAAAAGGGAAGGGGCCAACGAATACGTAGCAATAGAAAAAAAATATGGTGGCGCGTTGCCAAAAGGACGTTAGTGCCTCAACGGCTCGTCCGATCGTGACAGCTCGTTGAAAAGGGGAAGGGCCAACAAATACGTAGACACAGAAAAAAACATAGTGATGCATTGCCAAAAGAACGTTAAGCTTTAGTGCCTAAACGGCTCATCCGATCGTGACGTACTGAAAGCCATGCTGCAATATTAAATTTTACTAATCCTGTCATTGCTATCGCACTGACAGACACACCATCTGAACCCAATTCAATGCTAAGCCTGTAAAGCAGACGATACAGCAATAGCTGCTAGTCTAGCTACGAGACACCTACAAAGAGCACTCAACGAACTTGAAGCATGTTGTGTATAGTGGAAAATAGCGGTATCCCTGCCTGACAAAACATAGGCCGTCATGCACCAAAAAAGAATCCCTATTCAATAAACCAATCGAGTGGTCTAACCAAGCCAAATATCTAGGCATAACGTTGGATAAAAAGCTGACCTTGATAGAGCACGTAAAACAAACGGTCAACAAAGTTAAAGCACTCAAGAGTCAACTCCCATCACTATAATTGATCGAAAGAGTAAATTGATATTTAAAACAAAGATTAGGATGGCAAACTGCATAATTTTGCCCACACTAACATATTCCTCAGCAACATGGGGACATACGTGTATAACCAACATAAAAAGGATATAGACTAAGTACGTCCCATTAAGGTAGGTACAGGTTTAGGAATTCATGCCAAAAGAGAATCCTTTAGAACAATAGACGAAAGAGCACACGAGATATTCAACCTCAGGAACCACCCGAGCAGATTGTTAATAGAGATGACAGACTATAACGAAAATGTAAGGACGATACATAGACAGCCCAGGCAGCAACTAGTAGGATATAGAGGTAACCCAGATTAATAAAAATGAGATAGCCATGCGATAGTCTAACGTACGCAGTAACAAAACAAATCCCTATATTATCTTATTTTTTTATTTAGTTATGTTTACTTACTAACGAGTTATATACAGTAAAAGATACAAACCAGAAAATATATACATGGGGTGTGTGATGGCCGTATACTCTCTACCCCACACATTGTTACTTTCTTTCTATTATTATTTCATCTTAATCTTCACTAACCCCCCCCCCCTCTGTTACAGCAGTTATGCCAACGATTCAACCACATCATAGTATAAAACTGTGACCACATTAAGTGAATTCTGACGTAGTAGCATAAAGACGCCTCTCAGGCAGGTGAAAGGACCTACAGTCGCAAAACCTGAGCATCGAGGTCACGTGCGACAAGCGTGAGCTCGGTGGCCAGACCTTTCGGGCATTTAGCCGGCGAGGAGAACAAAATTTATTTTGCCAATTCGGCGGCTGAATGACCGAGCACACAAAAATCCGGAAGTCTGCCCGGAACACACTTTTGGGAAGTCCAAAGTCAAGTCAAGTAATAAATTCAAACAGTAATAGGGAAAAAAGCTCGTCTAGCTACCCCTTAAATTAGGTATGACCTAACCACACATAGTAAAACAGAGGATGACCCATTACCCAGGGCATCCAAAGTAGCGCTCAGTACGCCTCCTCATTCGTTACGTCCTGTGATGGGGAGGGGTGGTGTGTGTGTGTGTGTGTACTATCGCACTGTTCTAATCTGAGTAAGGACGTAAAATTCCACCGCCACTATAGTATTTTATTAATAATTTTATGGGTTAAATAATAATTCTTTTAAGTAAATCCAAAGTGTCTTTACTCCCTGTAGGTTTTTTCTGTCTACAAGTAGAACACTGATGATTGTAAATTTTGCGTAACTCATTTAGTATTCTTTAAATAGTATAAAAAGTTTCTGAATCTGTTTTCTTATGTCATGTCTAGTTAAATATTATGATATAGAACAAAGTCCCACTACGGAAACCGTTTTCAAAAAAGATTTATTTTAAAAATTCTGGGAGGGAAATGTACAACAAACAAGTTGTTAATAGGTTACGTTTTTCAAAATTGATGGTTGACTTACTTGGTTGATCTCGATCTTGTAGGAATGGCCTGCTTTTGGTTGAAAAAAATCCAAAGGTGTTTTTTTTACCCTTGAAATATCAAATTCGGTGTTTTTTGTTTCTTTTTTTTCGTATTATTTCTATGTGTAATGTGTGATTGCATAGATGTGCTTGCTCGTTGTCCCAAGCATGTTTGCATATCTGAGATTTGTCGAAGTTTTTATTCTTGATGTATATTTCATGCTCATTTCTCCTGAAACTTTCATATTAGACGATGTCGTCTTATGTCTTCTGCTAAAATTATTTGATCATCAGAAAACAACAGGCTATGCATATAGTCATCAATTTTTATTCCCTTCTATTCACATTTCTTGTTCCAGTGACAAGACAGCATTCTTGTCAAAGTCCTTTATTGACCTTAAACGGTTGAGTAGATTTGTCATTTTTTTTGCTGTCTTCGTAAAGAAATTTTACGGCGTTTATGTAGGTGTATGATTTTCCATTGCTTTTTACAAGTTGTTGACTGGAACCATTGATTAAAAACTATTATACAGTATGTGTAATTTGTACTATACATCATGTGTACTGTGCAGTTTTTAATAAATTCTCAAACACTATCATCGGCCTTTCGAATGTCCACGAATACCTACCATATACAATTCAGCATTAAATGCTAGTTTGTGTTTTATGAGCTGTTTTATACAAAATATATTCTTTTTTGTTTCTCTTTTTATATATAAGTAGCCCATTTTCCATTCGTTCGGTATTTTTCCATCAAATAAACATTAGTTTCAATTCTTGGCCAAATAGGCGTGTTTTAACAGTTCTGCAGATATGCCCAGTCACTATTTTTCAACCTTTTCTTGTTTTGTTTTTAGATATATCTCCAACTCTTATTTGTCCACCATATTTCCTAGGTGGAGAGTATATAGGTATTTTTTTCTTGTAATAACTCATTAACAGTATTTTTTACCCATTCGCCATTTGTATTAGTTTTAACTTTACCCTTTCAGGGTATTCTGTTCTTCGTCTTCTTTGTTTTTAAGCTACATATGTATCTAGTTTTGCTGCTCTATTTCGTAAGTTTGCTTTCTGTATTCTCTAGTTTTTGTAATCAGCCTCTTTGGTAAGCTTTCTTCGCTTCTTTGGGTTTTTTTTATCTAGCCTTTTCTCTTCCAATGGCTTTTGCTGCTAGGTGTATTTATGTTTTCATCTTATCTTCAGTGTACCTTTTTGATTGTATGTTTTCAAGCTCATTATATTTCATTTTTCTCAGACTTAAGTTATTTCTGTGGATATATTCTTGATCTCACCAATTGGTGGTCTGATTCTCGCATTTTCGACCTTGACAGTATATTGTTTTTTTTTTTGTCAAGAGCTAGTTTTCTACACCTTTGTATATTTATCTTAAGTATTACATTTTTAACGAATACTGGTCGCATATCCTTCTTTATATTCAAATTCGAAAATGGTTAACTATTAACGTTTCGTTTTTCCAAAAACCAAACTCTGATCATAAGTTTATGGGAAGTGAGGAAAAAAAACAATGTTTAGTTATTGACACGCTTTATTTAAAAATAAGTACTTGTGTAAATTTTAGAAATAAAAAATTTAATAGCAAATAACTGTAATACACCGAATATATTTTTATAAATCTATTTTCAGATAATTACTTTCAATAATAGGTCAAAGATCCGGAAGTGTATGTACAACGTATTTCATTTTCCAATTTTTTCCTTTGGAGGGTTTACAAAAATGCCCATAAATCATTATATATTCAAGCTAAAGAAATCGACATCACCTAAAATGACTGAAACCACTCAAACAACTGAATTTTGACAGGAAGTTTAAAAAATGAAAAAATCGAAATGGAATAGGGTACAAGATTATAAATGGATTGAAAAAAATTCACAAGTTACCAACATACTATGGGAAGTCTCAAGAGCCCTACGATAAGTCTCTAGGTTGGTATGGAAATGAAGAAAGAACTCAATAAGACTGCGGAATATAACAATAAACTTATCAAACAATACCTACTACAAAATAATCCTGTCGCAGGATACATAGATATACATAGATACCTACTTTCCCAGAATGATTTTCGAAGTGGAAATCAAAATAAACCTATTTTCAACTGAAATTGTGGTGAATTCCCATTTAAGACAATAAAACACTTTTTCAATTTTGAGACAAACTTACTAGTAATCCTTGAAATTCTTGTAGTTTAATAATAATACCACCATCAATCTACAAAAATATTACAGCAACTCTGTGTCCGTACTGCAGACTCTGGCGATCTGAAACATATCGTATGTGTAAAACAATGATTTATTTAAATTGAGTACATGATTAGAACAATCAATTACTAATTGTAACCCATTGTAAGCATCAACTAATGTATTTTGATATTCATAATCAACCTGTACGCGTCCACTACTGGACATAGGTCTCCCTCAGTTCTTTCCACCTGTCTGTCTTCTGCAGCTTGTATCCAGTTACTACTAACACGCTTCAGGTCGTCAGTCAATCTGATTGGTGAGTGACCCCTACTCCGTAGAGTTACTTGCCTTGGCCCCCAGTCGACAATACCTTTTGTCCATCGGTTGTCAGATGATCTGGCAACGTGTCCTGCCAATTCCATTTTAGCGACGTGATTTTTTCGACATCGTGTGTTTTTGTTTAATGACATATTTCTTCGTTTAGTTTCAGT